CTCAGTTCTATGCGCTGAATCAGAAAAAAGAAACAGTAGAGTTCTCAAAGGAATATAGAAGAAATTATTCGAATTTTACGTGCCGGAACGGCTTTTTGAAATTTAGAACCCTTCCCGTATTTGTAAATTTCCTCATTGAAAATATTAGTTCATAAGGTTAAAACCGACATATTCTTGATCAGCTCGAAAAGTTCTATCCAACCATAAAAATATCTAGTACTGTAACTTCGAATTACGCACGCCTTATATTTCTAAAAAGCTGAGAACAAAGAATATGGTTCAGTTCTGAAGAGAGTTTAAAACCTGAAGTAAAAACCACCCAAATTTTTGTTTTATTATTATAAATAGAAATTGTTTAATGTACCTAACGTTGATATGGCACTTGATATTGATGATGTGGACTGAGTGGTTATTATTGTAGTTGCCGCTGTGAATGAGAAAACATAAATCAGGTTTATAAGATAAATTCAGTCTATTGGTTTAAACCACAGGCGAGCCTCTCCAACATTTCCATGCCAGGTTTAAGTAATTATCGCGAAAACGAATAAATCTGATGTATACTTGGAATCGACGTATATGTTAACGATGATGTTGTATCAACTCCAGTTGTTGTTATTGTTGTTGTTAGCGCTATTACATGAAAAAAGGTTATGATCTACTCATGGGTGAACATTTAAATTAGGTAGAGTTTCAAAGATTTCAAAGCAGCCGTTCCACTCTCTGTAAAAGAAATTCTTGCTCTAAATTAATCATCTGTTAAATAATTTTATGGATTAGAAAGAGAATATACTCAGCAACAACGCATGTACTGCGTCTAGCAAAACTAAGTCAAGAAAATATGTAAATACCTGTAGTTGAATTTGATGTCATAATTGTCGATATTATGATATCAGTCGTTGTCATTTCTGTAACTAGAATTAAATTAAACATATTACATTACGGAGTATTGCTAAGATATTATCTGAGAAAAGTGCAGTAGATGATGATCATCACTGCTACAGACCAAACCACAATTCACACTATATGTAAATGTACAGAACAGTGGCGGATCCAGGAGTTTCTGGTATGCTGGATCTCAGCTTCAGAGCATGAGACCCAGATGAAACTTATGGAGAGTGATACTGAACTCAAATGATGAGCTATTATCAACAAAATTTTTCGATCGGAGTTTGCGAAAAGAAAGTAATTTTTTGAACCGCCGCCCCCTCAATTTTTTTTTGCTTTTGGTAATATTCTGCTTTTTATATAAGAGCTAATCCTTCCTCTATTCATACCGATACTGCCATTCGATGTCATTTCTAATCAGGGTTGTGCAAATCTGAGTCCAGATTCTGACTTGGAAAGGTTTTCTCATATAGGTTTTCTCGATATTTTTCGGATTTTGAGCTA